ACAGAACGCTGAGGTGCAGCTGCCGCTGTCCTCATATTCCTGACATTAATACTGAGGTCAGACATAAGCACCAGTAACTCTCGTAGCCTCCAATCATCACGCTATAGATCTGACAGCTCAGCCCGGACATGCTGCAGATCTGTGATCCTGTGGTACAAAACTAATATACCAGAGACAAAGACAAATGTGAGACCAGGACCGGGGGAGAAGGAACATTAATTTAGGATCATGGATAGTTATTAAATCCACGACTGGTTATGGGATACTGCTGTGCGGAATTGGCTGCTGCGTTTCGCCCACAAAATACAGTCAATCGACGTTGCAATATATTCTGTGAAGTGCTTTGAGACGTCTCAACTATGTAATAAGGCGCTATATCAAATGCAAGGCTTAATTATTATATTATTGTTATTATTATATACAAATGAAAGGTGTTCCTTCTTGGGGTGGAATGCATAACTGGTAGTGGGATGGCACAGTGTCACAGTTAGGATTGCCTAGGTTCAGTTCACTGGTAGGAGGAGGAAGTGCTGGGAGGGAACAATCAGTGTCCCACCAAACTGGCAGTGGCTTTGGCAGGTCTTGGAGCAGGCTGCCTGCCTCAGGTCAACCCAAAGTGGAAAAGAGATGTTTATATTGTGCCACATTGTACATAATGAGTACCCCTTAAATACAGATGCTAACACCCGTTCTAGTTTGCTACCTACATACAGCAGTGCTGGAAGAGAGGGTTTCTGTTGCTGGACACCTCATCCTCCGTCACGTAGCAGAGATTTTTATAGAACATTCAACATTAGATTCTGGACCAGATGATCTAATAATCCGCACATCTGATATAGCACCTAGCATTTTGAAATATCTCAAAGCACGCCATCGGTAACTGCTGTCATGTTTAGTGACTTTTTTTCAGGCAAACAAGCAATCAACAGAACACAGAACAACATCCCACCAACAGTCATGAAATGAATGACTAATTCATCTGGTAGATTGAAGGCCAACATCTGCATAATAGCAGAGGGAATGGGAGTGGGCGGGGGGGGGGGGGGTACAACAACAACGACTTGCATTTATATAGCGCCTCTCGTGCACAGTAGCATCCCAGAGCGTGGAAAGCAGTGACATGTAAAAAACAGTTTTTTTTTCAAATGTCCCACCACTCCTATGACATGCAAGCAGATCCTGATTCCAATCCCAGATTACCTGGTGAACACCCATTCTTCATCTATTCATTTGTTAATGATCCATTAGTTGTCTCTCTATATGTGAACCCATAACGTAGGGTTCATGACCAGAAAAGACATCCAACGTAAAAAAATTAACTGAAGAATAATCCGAATCCGACATTATCTCTCACACTACCAAATTCTTTACCAGATAACTATTTTAATTTCCTCTTGAAATTGCTGACACATTATGTAGTGGTTAGTAGAAATATTTTGCTTCTGCCTAATTTGAGTTTTTCTCCCTTTGGTGTAAGTTGCTCTCTTTCCCCTCGTGCAGTTGATTTCAGTGCAGTGATGGCACATCAGAGATGGTGAAGCAGTTAACATGATGTTTACCAGCCAGGCTGCACAGAGCATATGCTCAACACCAGAAAACATTGGTCGAAAACCACACCAAACTAAAATTCACAGTGCATCCCAATCAAGCAAGAAATAGTACGTGCAAAGCTGGAGCAAAAAAAGTCTTTGATAAAGAAAAGATGAGTAACAGCAGTGAGGAAAGTACCACAGTCCATCTCTCCCCAGAAGGGGAAACACATCTCACAATCGAGTCGAGCAGTCCTTAGAGTGTGAGTGTAAGTAGAAAAGGTCATAAACACAATGTGATAACATCTTAAAGAGGTAATATATATTACAGGGGAACTGCAATGATTGCGCGTTCTCCCCCCCACCCCCATGTACAAACACTACCAGCAATGTGTTGCAACTGTTAAAGGAATTACAAAGCAAGTTGCAGCCTTTTATTGGCTAATTCATGCTGGATGCTGCTGGCTGTGGGTATAAACCATGCAACTTGCAGTAAAACACTCTCCTGCTCAGGGGCTCATCCAGAAAAAAACACCTTTACCTCTGAGCCTGCCAAACTACTGCAAAGTAATTATAGAGAAAATCAGCTTGAAGACCATTCACAACCAGCCAATATTTGGTACATAAGGGTATCAAGGGATATGGGGAAAGCATGGATAATTGGTGGTGTGATACAGGTCAGCCATGTTCTTATAGAATGGCCTACTCTGTGCCAATGTTCCTACATATGTGTATTTAAACAAGATTTTGTTTAAAGTGCTATGTACAAATGAAGCTGATTGACCCTGGGTTAAGCTGTGTAATATGTATCAAGATTCAGATCACACCCCCTTTTCTCACCATCAGTTTCCTGTCAATGTTCAGTTTCGGATGCACTGCAGCTGATTTTTAGCCTGTCAACCAGGCCTGCAATAAAATAGTTTCAACCTGGAATAATAATAATTCTTGCATTTGATATAGCATCTTATCACATCTTCGAGATGCCTAAAAGCCCTCACAGAATATACTGTAAAGTGCAATGACTGTATATATTGCGGGCCAAATAATTGCACGTAGCAGTGTCCCAAAACAGCTGTGGATTGAGTGACCACTTTTTTTGACAAACTTCCAATAAATTTGATGATAAAAACATAACTTTTCTCCAACTGTAATATCTCCTCTGTATCTCTCCTGTTTGCTATTACCATTGGGTTCGACACTGCAGTACAAACTTTATCGTGCTAATAATAACCAAACTCAAACCAAACACTTACCACTTAGTGGAACTTTACAACAGTGACTAGGCTACTTTGATAATCATTAGCATATCAATATTGTAAGAGATGAACCTGGAAACGAGTTGAGTATATTGGTCCCACTTTCTTTTCACCGAATCAGCAACTTAAACTGGCAGTAAAAAGCTGCAAGAATAAACCATTTGCAACTTCCAAATACATTACTCACTGAACAAACTATTGCAGCTATCAGGTTACTTTCAGCACCATTGCTAAGTCAGCGACAATTGCTTTTGAGACACAGATGCCAAGTCTTTTGGGAAATAGAATTACACGATTTGTAAACTATGAATAGTTATCTTACATCCTTACTGCAGCAGGTTCCCATCTGCTCACATCAATGTATAGTCAGTCAATCCTGTTGTAAAAATGCTAGTTGTGACATGCACACACAAGCCTAGGAACACCAGGATTTTCACACAGGTTGAATTAATTGTCTTTAATTCGAGTGGGACATGGATGGAAACCTCCATTTCTCCAGGTTAATTTTTAATGAGAATCACAGTGAACTTTGCTTTCTTGAAATATCTGATTGCTCCCATGTTTACTTTGGATGCAGATATGGTGCAGACTCCTTTACTTTACTGCCACCCCACATATCCTTTGCCAGTTGGAGCCCATGTCAACTCCCTTCACACAAATAAACAGGATCATATTCTACATGGATGTTAAAGTGGCTGTGGTAAAGTGCCTAGCGAGACACTTATGGGAATGCAATGACACTGACTGTGTCTGTGGCACAGCAAATTTATCATCCACCCAACTTCAATAAACACACACTGAATGCTCAACGTTAAACACTGCAAAACATCTTCAGTAGCAGACACAGAACAATAACAACTTGCATTTATACCGCCGGCAATAAGGGTTCACTGGGTCACCACCCCTTCACTAGTAATAGTTCAAACAACCCTGCAAGGTAAAGGTCAGAACTTGGGCAGACTTCAGTAACCCTTCAAACATTAATAGGCAGTGGTTCACCAGAGGTCAGATCACTCCAGATATAGCAACATGGCTATTTTGTTTGCCTACAAAATACAGTTACTACACTTTACAGTAAATCTTGTGAAGTGCTTTGAGATGTCCTGATGTGAAAGATTCTATGTCAAGTGCAATGATTATTTACGAAGGTCTTAGCCAACCCATTATACAATGCCTCCTCCCTTTCTGAATATTTACAAATAATTGTCAAGACTGTTTTTCAGGAAAAGCAATAAATTTCACATTAAATGGTTCTCTTGAATGTACTGGTAACGATACAAGGTTGGCTGTGATGAGATTTTCTGAATCATAGGAAAGTACCATATACGTACCACTGGAAACCCGAAAGCCTGGTGAAGCACTAATGCAATGGAAGGGAAAACATTCCAGAGGTTACCCCAACGCACACTGTGGGGTCCCTAAGCCTTGGCTCTCGCCAACCTGCACCTAATACTCTCCAGAATTAGGTAAGCGCGATGCATCCCTCCAGGGAGAGCGCGAGTGCGCATTCCATTCCAGCAATCTATCGCTGGGATTTCCATGTGGAGACGGGATGCATGGAATTCTCAGCTTGGCTTAGAGACACTTCAGCCCTGGCCATGGGTCAGACACCAAGAAACACTCCAGGCCTCTTGATGTGAGAAGTCCCACCCTCAGTGTCTCCCCCACCCTCAGTGTCTCCCCCACCCTCAGTGCCTCGCCCCCACACCCTCAGTGTCTCCCCCACACCCTCAGTGCCTCCCCCCACACCCTCAGTGCCTCCCCCCACACCCTCAGTGCCTCCCCCCACACCCTCAGTGCCTCCCCCCACACCCTCAGTGCCTCCCCCCACACCCTCAGTGCCTCCCCCCCACACCCTCAGTGTCTCCCCCCACACCCTCAGTGTCTCCCCCCCACACCCTCAGTGCCTCGCCCCCACACCCTCAGTGTCTCCCCCACCCTCAGTGCCGCCCCCCACACCCTCAGTGCCTCCCCCCACACCCTCAGTGCCTCGCCCCCACACCCTCAGTGTCTCCCCCACCCTCAGTGTCTCCCCCCCACACCCTCAGTGCCTCCCCCCCACACCCTCAGTGTCTCCCCCCCCACACCCTCAGTGCCGCCCCCCCACACCCTCAGTGCCTCCCCCCACACCCTCAGTGCCTCCCCCCCCACACCCTCAGTGCCTCCCCCCCACACCCTCAGTGCCTCCCCCCCACACCCTCAGTGCCCCCCCCACCTGGGTGCTGTGTTTCCCGCTCTCGGGCCTCAGGTCGCGGCCGCTCCGTCCCCTCAGCAACACAACATGGCGGCGACCACGTGACCCCCAGCACCGCACCAACCAATCAGAGCTTAGTGCTCGCGGGGGTGTGAGGACCAATCATAGTCACCGCCTTCTGCACCAATCATAAGGCCCTCAGTGCACTGCGCGGCTTCCCATTGGCTACTCTCCAGCCAATCAGACAACGACCAGTGCAACTGCTGCCCAATCAGAATGCACAGCGCGGCAGCTCCACAGCCAATCAGGAGCTGCATGTGTGAGAGATTGACGGTGTGAGTGTGTGAGCGAGAGTGAGCGAGTGTGAGTGTGAGCAAGTGAGTGTGAGAGTGTGAGAGTGTGAGTGAGCAAGAGTGAGAGTGAGTGAGCAACTGTGAGTGAGCGAGTGTGAGCGAGAGTTTGAGAGTGAGCGAGTGTGAGCAAGAGTGAGTGAGTGAGTGTGAGCGAGAGTGTGAGTGAGTGAGAGTGTGAGTGAGCGAGAGTGAGTGTGAGCAAAAGTGAGTGAGTGAGCGAGAGTGAGTGTGAGTGAGCGAGAGTGTGAGCAAGAGTGAGTGAGAGTGAGTGTGAGCGAGAGTGTGAGAGAGCGAGAGTCAGTGAGAATGAGTGAGTGTGAGCGAGAGTGTGAGAGTGAGTGAACAAGAGTGAGCGAGAGTGTGAGCGAGTGTGAGCAAGAATGAGTGAGTGAGAGCAAGAGTGAGCGTGTGAGCGAGTGAGTGAGCGAGAGTGTGAGTGAGTGAGAATGAGTGAGTGAGTGTGAGCGAGTGTGAGCGAGAGTGTGCGAGTAAGCGAGAGTGTGAGCGAGTGTGAGAATGAGTGAGTGTGAGCGAGAGTGTGAGTGAGTGTGAGCGAGAGTGTGGGGGGGGGTTCCTGAGTCACATGTCAGTTTATACGCCATCAGCTCAAGTCCTGATTTGGGGCAATTAACAAATCGATTATCCCACAGCTTCGCTTCCCGTCGGGTCAGGACTTTTCACCCACAAAATAGTCAACTCACTTTACAGCATATCCTGCGAAGCGCTTTGAGACGTCTCAACCACGTGATCAGACGGTATATCAAATGGAAGTATTATTATTATAAGAGCCCACAGTATTCTGACTTGTGGACGCCTGAGCCCCCAGAGCCCGGCCGGTAACCTGCGTCTGTATATCATGTGGTGCCACCACCAGGTGAGAGCAGACACTGCCGCTGCGTATCAGATCGTGGCCAATCGGGCTGTTCACTGCACCTATCGGGAAATGACACTTCTAGGTATCGTTTCAGGTGTACGTTTACACGTCGTACAATATGCGTATCTCCTGGATGGAATGTATTGGAGACGCATTCTCATCCGGAATTTGATGTCTGACAAACCAGGAGTGGATCCTGGAGTCGAGGGCGGAGGGAGAGAGATAGATGGGTGTTGTTTGTATAAATGTGGAAGTTATCCCCATGCCTTCGGATGGTATCACTGAGCGGGAGCATGTAAATATTAAAGAGGAGAAGACCAAGGACAGAGTCCTGCGAGGGCTGGAGGAGAAGCTGCTTGTGGATAGAAAGTGGAGACAGACGATAAAAGTGAAACCTTATCTGTGGAGTCCTGTAGCTCAGTGGTTAGAGCACTCGCTTTGCAAGCGAGACACCTGGGTTCAGGTCCAGGCAGAGGGCGAAACCTCGGGCAAGTTTCCTTACCCCACACAGAGCCTAATAATAATCCCTCCAAAACAAAACAATAATAAATTGGTCATTTTCACTCCACGACTGTTTGTGGGGACGCTGCTGTGCGCAATTGGCTGCCGTGTTTCACCCACAAATATACAGTCAATTCACTTTACAGTGTGTTCTGTGAAGCGCTTTGGGACGTCCTCCCGACGTGAAAAGCGCTATATCAAATGCAAGGATTATTATTATTATTATTCTGTGAAGCGCTTTGAGACGTTTAGAGTGTCAACCAGCAGTGTCAATAGAATGGTAGAGGGATCGAGAAAAATGAGCCCTGGTAACCAGATGGACAACATGTCATTTGTAGTTTGATTAAGGCTATCTCTGTATAATGGGCTTGGAGGGGTTTATTCAGGGAGCGGCGGGAGAGGAAAGAGCAAAGCTGGGAAGCAATGAGTTGTTCCAGGACCTTGGGAAGAAAGCCATTGCTCACAGCAACGCTCTGTTGTACCTACAGCTCCAGGGTCTGGCATCCTGTGTCCGCTTCTGACTGACATCTTGGGGATGTCATCTGCAGACATGGGGTACATTTCCACATGTACGCGGACAACACCCAACTCTATTTTCCACCTCACTTTGCGACCCCCAGTCCCCTGATGTTCTGTCAGCCTGCCTGTCATACCTCAGGGGCTGGATGAGTGCAAATTTCCTTCAATTATCCTTTCTCCCCCACATCCGGTCCCTCACCAGCGCCTCCGATGCATCGCCCGTCTCCGCCAATACCTCACTCCAAAAGCCGGTGAAACCCTGGTCCATGCCTTTGTCACCTCTCGGCTGGACTATTCAAACGCCCTCCTCGCCGGTCTCCCCTCCACTACCATCCATAAAATTCAAGTCATACAAAACTCTGCCGCCCGCATTCTTACCTGGACCAAACTCCGCTCCCCGATTACCCCAGTCCTTGCCAGACTGCACTGACTGCCTGTTCCAGAGAAGATAGACTTCAAGATCCTCATCCCTGTCTTCAAATCCCTCCACTCCTCTGCACCTCTCTGACCTCTCTCCTCACAACAGTGCCTGTTGCCTTTGTTCAACCGGGTCTGGCCTGCTCCTTGTCCCCAGAGTCCTCCGCTCCACCCTCGGCGGCCGTGCCTTCAGCCACTATGCCCCGAGGCTCTGGAATTCCCTTCCTCACTCCCTTCGTCTCGCTCCCTCTCTTCCTATTTTCAGGTCTCTGCTGAAAACCTTTCTCTTCGACTGCGCCTTTGGTCACCTTCCCCCCCTCAGCCCTGGGATCCGTTACTGTGGAGTGCTCTGAGATGCCATCCGGAGTGGAGGGCGCTATATAAATCCAAGTTGTTGTTGTTGTTGATCATTCACCCCAGTAACAGACATATTGGGTTAACCTGGTTGCTCTTGTGCAAGATTGGTAAATGCAATCAGCAAATGGTCACAAGGGCAACTGAGCATTTGGGAATTGTGACTTTTAAATAATATCGACCGCTCAGTGTAAACATTGCATTGTGCAGAGTCACCCGGGATCTCAATGCAAGTCAGAGATGATATGAAAGTCTCCTCTCAGTATTTACTGTAATTATATTCCACGAAATGGGCTTCAAAGAAAGAATAGATTTTGAGACAAGCCCAAAGTGGGTAATAAAAGAGAATGGATTGGTCAACTGTTTGAAAGGAAGAGGTATGGTTTGATGAGATGGGGTGAGAAATGGTCTTTGATTAGTCAGGAGCTATGTAGATTGAGGATCAACAACAACAAATTACATTTGTATAGTGCCTTTCACGTCGGGAGGACGTCCCAATGTGCTGGGCAATCAGGGATTTGGACCCGAGCTGGGGGTTGGGATCAGGAGGGTTGGAGGGCAAGGGAGGGTAGGACATAGACACGACACAGACAAAATGTGGACACACTCATACATAGGTCACAATGCTTTTGTATCGCCTGTTGTATATTTTTTCTATTTGAATAGAAAATGCCACATCAGCAACCAGAACACATGTAAAGACATTCGCATTTGAGTTTGGTGTTAACTACAGTCAAAATGGTTTTCCATTTACAAGATTACAACAAAATTACATTTGTATAGTGCCTAAGTCAGGAGAACGTCCCAAGGCTCTGGACAACAACAAGATTCCATTTATAGAGCGCCTTTCACGTCGGGAGGACATCCCAAGGCACTGTACAGTTGGGTCAGGACCCGAGCAGGGGGGAAATGGTCAGGGTGAGGGGAGGGAAGGGAGGGAGCGAAGAGGGGGTAGAGAGTCGAGAGTGCAGCTGAAGGCACGGTCAATGAGAAAGGTCTTGAGACTGGCTTTGAAGGAGGAAAGGGAGCAAGCAAGGCGAAGGCACTGGGGATGGAGTTCCAGAGCCTCGGGGCTGAGAGGCTGAAGGCCCGGCCACCGATGGTAGGGCGGTTGGGGAGGGGGATGTGGAGCAGACCGGAACCAGAGGAACGGAGGGTACGGGCAGGTAGGTAGGGGGATAGTAGGTCAGAGAGGTAGGAGGGAACAAGGCCGTGAATGGCCTTGTAGATGAGGATCTTGAATTCGATCCTCTGGGGGATGGGGAGCCAGTGGAGGTGAGCGAGGGTGGGAGTGATGTGGTCCCGAAGCCTGGTGCGGGACAGTACACGAGCTGCAGAATTCTGAATCACCTGCAGCTTGTGGAGGGAGGTGGCGGGAAGGCCGACGAGGATAGAGTTCCCATAGTCTAGCCTTGAGGTGATAAAGGCGTGGACCAGAGTTTCAGCAGCGTGAGGGGTGAGGTAGTGCCGTAGTCTGGGGATATTCCGTAGGTGATGGAAGGCGGTGCCAGTTGTGGCGCAGATATGAGGGAGAAAGGACAGCTCAGGATCGAACAGAACACCGAGGTTCCTGACTGGCTTTGAGAGGTGGAGAGTGCAGCCTTGGATGCTGATGCTGTCAGCGCCAGAGGTGCGGAGGCACTGACCCGAGCCAATCAGGAGGGCCTCAGTTTTACGCACGTTGGACAGTCAGTGTTTCGGACCTGAGCTGGGGGTCGAGATCACAAAGGGTGGAGGGTAGGGGGGGGAAGGAAAGTGATTGAAGGCACGATCAAAGAGAAGGGTCTTGAAGGAGGCATGAGAGGGGGCGAGGCAGAGACTGCGGGATGGAGCCGAGGGTGGGGGCAGAGTGGCAGAAGGCCCGCCCACCAATGATGAGGTGGCGAGGCGGGGGACATGAAATAGGCCAGAACCCACTGAGTGGAGGGAGCGGGCAGGTTGGTAGGGGCTAAGAAGGTTGCAGAGGTGGAGGGGAGCAAGGCCACAGAGGGCTTTGAAGGTGAGGACCAGGATCTTGAACTGTTTCCTAAGTGTGATGGGAAGCCAGTGGAGTCAGGCGAGGATGAGAGTGATAGAGTCATGGAGCCTGGTGCAGGAGAGGTCATGGGCTACAGAGTTCTGGATGATCCTGCAGCCTATGGAGGGAGGAGTTGGGGAGGCCGACAAGCAGGGAGTTTGTGTAATCAAGTCTCGATGTAATGAATGCGTGTATGAGGGTTTCGGTGCCTTGCAGTGTGAGACAGTGGCGGAGCCGGGCGATGTTGGGGAGGTGGGGGAAGGCAGAGCGGGTCATGGCACAGATGTGGGGTAGAAAGAATAGTTGAGGATCAAACAAGATGCAAAGTTCCCGACTGGCTTAGTAAGGTGGAGTGTGCATCCATGGATGGTGATGCTGTCAGCACCTGCGGTGTGGAGGCACTGACAGGAGCCAATCAGGAGAGCCTTGGTCTTGTTGATGTTCAACTGAAGAAAGTTAGCTCTCATCCAGGACCTGATATCTGACAGACATTCTGTCAGGACAGCAGTGGTCCTGGAGTCAAGCGTGGAGGCAGAGGTACAGTTGGGTGTCATCCACATACATGTGGAAGTTGATCCCATGTCTGCGGATGATGTCACCAAAAGGGAGCATATTGATATTGAAGAGGAAGGGACCAAGGAAAGAGCCCTGAGGAACACCGCACAAGCTAGAGGAGAAACCACTTGAGGAGATGGGAGTGGAGACGGTGTGAGAGGTACAATCTGAACCAGTCAAGGACACAGCCGTGAAGGTTGAGAGAAGAGGTGTTGGGAGGAGAACAACAACAACTTGGATTTATATAGCTCCCTCCACGCCGGATGGCGTCTCCAAGTGATTAGAGTGGTTGACTGTAGCAAAGGCAGCAGAGAGGTCAAGGAAGACGAGGAGGCAGAGGGAGCCTGGTCGCAGATAAACAAAATGTCTTTTGTCACTTTGACCAAAGCTGGGTGGGTGTCATCCACTGTGGGCGGCACGGAAATTCGATTGGAGCGGTTCATGAAGGGAGTGTCGGGAGAGTAAAGAACGAAGCTGAGAAGCACAATTTGTGCCAGGACCTTGGAAAGTAAAGGGAGGTTGGAGATGGGGCAGTAGTTTGAGAGCAGGGATGGATTCAGGGAAGATTTTTTAAGGATGCGAGTGATGTCTCCTTGTAGCTCAGTGGTTAGAGCATTCGCTTCGCAAGCGAGAATCCTGGGTTCTGTTCCCGGTAGGGCAAATTGTTGGGCAAGTTTCCTTACTCCACACGCCTCTGTTTACCTAGCAGTAAGTAAGAACCCAGTTGAAAGATTGGCTGATCGCTTTTCTGGGGATGATTCCTCAATAACAAATAATAATAATTTGGTCACTCAATCCACGACTGTTTGTGGGACACTCTGTGCACAATTGGCTGCTGCGTTTCATCCATAAAATATACAGCCAATTCACTTTACAGTATATTCTGTGAAGGAGTCTGAGACGTCTCGAAGACGTGAAAAGCGGTATATCAAATGCAAGGATTATTATTATGACGGTCATTTTTAGAGGGGTGGGAATGGTGCCAGTGGACAGGGAGAGGAGGTGGAGCTGGGAGTTATGGAGAGAAGTAGGCCTGGGGTCTAGGGAACAATGGTCGGTTTCATGCGGGTTAGATTTGCATTGAAATGCTCCCATCCACACATTGAAGGAACAGCTCAATGATGTCAATAATAATTTAGCTCAGAATTCATTCGGGTGGTGTGTAGTAATGGGTGTTCTAGAGCATAAACAAGCTGTGTCCAAACAGACTCCACTCTGAGGGCATTGACCGCCCGATCCTAGACTCAGGACCTCGAGCGAGGCCCAGTGACTGGGACCCAATGAGGAGCCTGGGGAGGAGTAGAGGGCGGATTGTGCACAGCCAGTGAGTGGCTGAGTGGCAGTCTTTGGATTTATCAAGTGGTTCCAAGCTGTGGATTTGCATTTCCACTGAAACTGTCCAAGGTGCTCATCTCTGAAGTTACCCTTTTCCATCATGGTGAGTAGTGTCTCTCTTTGAGCTTTTGGGGCAGGAGGGGAAAGGCATGATGCGTTTATTTGAGAGATATAGATGCAAAATGGCTAATTGATTTGCAAATGTGACCACAAGTAAAGGGAGCACAGGTTGAATGTTAATAAGCAGTAGTTGTGTGAAACAAATTCCAATAAGAGACTGACGCCGTGCCCAATAATTCCTTCAAAAGAGAACTGGTTGAATACTGTTGTGCGACAAATCTTTAAAGTAATCAATTCTCTTCTCTTTCAGACATCATACATGGACAAGGGGGAGAAGGTAGGCTCTCGTCTCTGTTTACAGTACTTTCCCCTAGACTCAGTCTGAAAGCCCAGCCTAACCCGACTCTCTTCTCTTTCAGCCCGAGAAGGGACATATCGTTAACTTCCACCATATCACCTTCTGGGTGGGAAACGCCAAACAGGTGAGAGGAGCAATTACACAGTCAGTAACTCTCACCATTACCCTCTGCTCAATCAAACACTTATATTGTGGCTCTCACATCCGGAAAATGTCCCCAAGCGCTTCACACAAACAGCAACTATATACAGTAACATAGAAGTTCCTGTATCAGAAAATTCTGGATATTTTACTCATCTCCTTTTCTCCTGGCCAAACATAGCCAAAATAAAATTGGTTGCTCACGTCATGGCTATTGATGGGACAATGTCCAAAATCGCAAAGAGGAAAGTCTGAGATAGGTCTTGAAGGCAGTAAGGGAGGGGGCTAGGTAGAGGGGTTCCAGGATGGTGGGGAGTTCCAGAGGATGGGGGCAAAAAGTCCCAGAAACGTGTTGGGCAGTGGGGACTTTCGGTGGTGCCAGAAGGTGTCTCACACACACTCACATGTGTCTCTATCTTGCTCTGCAGGCCGCTTCCTATTACTGTGACAAGTTTGGGTTTGAGCATCTGGCGTACAAGGGTCTGGAGACCGGGAGCCGCGAGGTTGTGTCGCATGCCATCAAACAGGACAAGGTAAGGAGCCGAGAGCGAGAGACCTGCCGTAACTTACCCCAGACAAATGCTGAAAATCAAACCTATACGAGATGTCTGGGCACAGAAGGATTCCAGCTACAGAGACCTGTGCTCTAGGCCACAGGAGTCACTGGGGTATAGGTGACGTACATTTTTGACTGCCGGTGTGAGGTGGTGTCCCACTCTACTCTGTCTCTCTTTTCTCCAACAGATTATCTTTGTTTTCCAGTCTTCACTGAACCCAGGAACTAATGGTGGGTGTTAGCCAGATACAGAGACTCTGACCTGTGTCTGACTCCAGCTACTCTGTACTTTAGCTTTAATCCCTTGTTGTTGATGTAGCACCTTTCACACTGGGAGTATGGCTTCCCAGGATTCACTGCAAAGTGTAGTGACTGTATTTTCTAGGCGAACACAGCAGCTAATTTGCACACAAATAGCTATGAATTGAATTTTAACTGGGGGTGGGGGAACTGTTGGCCAGGACACCAGGAGAAATTCCCATCTCTCCTTGAATAGTGCCATGGAGATCTTGAACAAGCAGAGGGAGGGGACCCCAGCTTAATGTGGGTAAACAACCTGGTCTTTACACACATGAATTTGGAAGCTTCTGCAATGCTGGCCTGGTCAGGTCAGGTGATAGGTAGGTGATGCTGGATTGGGTTGAGGCTTGGCCAAGCTGGATGGCATTGGGTTGGGTCAGATCGGATGCTGCTGTTTCTCAGAGTTTTCCGCTTGCATTTAGAAATGTCAAAACACTTAGCACAACATGGAGACGGTGTGAGGGATATCGCGTTCCAGGTGGAAGACTGTGACTTTCTGGTGAAGGTAAGTAATGGGTAGCGAGGAGACCAGCCTCCGTCTCAATCGCCCGGCTGCTGTCCACAATAACCTCCCCTTTTCTATTTGTCCCTCTGAAAAGATAATGTTAATTTCAGTTCAACTCATGTGCCCCAAGCCTGCAGCTCCCTCGCTTCACTCATTTCTCTTAGACAACCTGTGGGTTGATTTCAAAGATGATTTCTGTCTCTGCTACTTATCTCCTGAACTGTTTCTCTGGACATGTAGACAGCAGAGAAGAACGGAGCGGTGATCCTTAAGCAGCCTTGGATAGAGGAGGACAGCTTTGGCAAAGTGAAACTGGCTGTTATACAGGCTGTAAGTATTAACACTCATATTCTCCTCCCATGTGTCATTCCCCCTCTTCATGCCTTGGGAGTCACGTAATGTCTCAACAACATGATAAGGCGCTTTATCAAATGCAAGGATTATTACTATTCTAGCTCATATCAGAGTTTTTAGAGCACACAATTATAAGGTACTTGGTATCTGAAGATTACAAGCTTAGCAAGTGACTCCTCACAGCTCTTCCTCCATCAGCCCTTTACATTAACAGTGACAACTCTATATAGTCTGCTATCAACAGTGACACCTCTATATAGTCTGATATTATCCTTGGGATATCCTCCCGAAGTGAAAGGTGCTATTGAAATGTAATTTGTTGTTGTTGAATATATGTGAATGTATAAATTGTGACAAGTGATTTCAGAAGAAGTAGGAAAATCTTTATACAGGGGTTAATTACTGGCTTAATGTAACAAACTGCTGGATGGTGCAATGGGAGAGGGTGCGTTACTGTTCAGGAAGGATATGAACTGTCACCTGTTTCCCGTGTTTCAGTTCGGGGACTTGACACACACCTTTGTGGAATATCCAAGTCCATACAGTGGCCTCTTCTTGCCTGGATTCAAGAAGACTTACATCAAAGACCCCCTGCTTTCCAAGTTGTGAGTACCTCTCCTCACTCCCACCCCACCCACAGTTCAGGTATGAAACCAGGATCGTTAAGCACCTTGGGATGTTCTCCCAACGTGAAGGTCGCTGTATAAATTAAAGTTTGTGTTGTATTATACCCAGGGCTAAGGGAAGTGGGTTACCTTAGCTTGAGGCCTTCTCTGATCTCTGTGATTTTGGTTTCAGGCCCCACACCCTTCTCAACTTTGTTGATCACCTCGTGGGGAACCAACCTGATGAAGAGATGTTGCCTGTGATCGATTGGTAAGTGGGGACGAGTGGGTGTGGAGTGAGTGATTACAAGAGTGGTGGTGGAGGGAGTTTGCGCATAGTAGGCAGTGGTGGGAGGGGAAGGCAGGGGATTGCTAGGGTAGTTCTGGGCGTGAAGGGGAGATGTTGGGGGGGGGGGGGATTTGGTTGAGAGAGTCTCCCACTCCCTCACACTGACCATTTACATTTATATAATGCCTTTCATATAGTCTCAAAGTGCTTCACACAACTTTGGGATCCGAAGGTAGGGGGCAAAATCAAAGACTTTGGTGGGGTTTAGGTTTTAGGGTGAAGCACTTTGAGATGTCCTCCCGATGTGAAAGGCACTTTGGGAGAAGTTTAGAGCTGGGCTTTTCACTGTGATATTTCCTAGGTACCTGAATTGTCTGATGTTCCACCGTTTCTGGTCTGTGGACGACAAAATGTTGCATACGAATTACAGCGCACTGCGCTCCATTGTGGTCACAAACTTCGCGGAGACGGTCAAAATACCCATCAACGAGCCGGCCAACGGCAAGAAGAAATCCCAGATCCAGGTACAGGCGGAGCCTCCCCCACACAGCCTCGACCCAGCCCTGCACAGCACACACTGAGCACCTGGCAATGTGTGTCAATGCACTACTGGTGTGTGTGTGCGTACTGTATACTCTGTGTGTGAGTACTGTCTACTGTGTGTGTGTGTGTGTAGACAGATGTTACACATGTACAAACACACAGATTTGCATATATACACACACAGTATAGATTACAAACACATACACACAGAAACACTCACACGCACACAGTATACATTACAAACACATATACACAATACAGCACACGTTCACAGTATACAGTGCGCACGCACGGCATACAGCATGCACGCACGTTATACAGTGCGCACACACAGACATACAGCACACAGTATGGGTGTGTGCACATGTGTGTAATATGTGCATGTGTGTGTGTATGTGTGTGTGAGTGCGCATGAATGTATATACCATATGCATGTATGCGTGTACCGTGTATATCTGTGTTGTGAGAACAGAAACGGGCCCAAGTGGATATCCTGCTGTCTGACACGTGACTGTTGTATAATGTGGCTGGTGAGAGTCTGACATTACAGCGGACCCCACAATGTTCAGCCAATAGCTGTTCAATATTCTTCTGTTCCCTCACTCTCTGCCGTTTCCCTCTCTAGGAGTTTGTGGATTATTACGGTGGCCCCGGAATCCAGCACATTGCCCTGAACACCAGCAACATCATTCAGGCTGTAAGTCGCACAGACTGTACCTACCCACCTACAGTACACACACACACACACACACACACACACACACACAAAGTCCCTATAATCCTCATTCCCCCTTGGGGACATTGTGTGCACATGTGCTCCACTTCCACATCGATGACACCCAACTCTAACTCTCTCCCATAGACCATGTCCTCACCCAACTCCGTAACCTATCATTTCTCACTCTCAAAATAACATCATTGGACCCATGTCTGTTCCCTAACTACCATCTTATCTCCAACTTTCCTTTTCTTTTCAAGGTCCTGGAACGAATTGTTGCTTCCCAGCTCCACTCTTTCCTCTATACACCCCCCCCAGTCTGGTTTCTGTTCTGCCCACAGTCCAGCTGTAGTCAAATTACGAATTACACTCTGTCTATCTGTGACCGGGGCTCCCTGCCTCATGTTTCTCAGCTTCTCTGCCTCCTTCGACACTGTTGACCACTGTTTTCTCCAACCCCTCTCCTCCCAGCTCCACCTCATGGTTCTGACCTTGCTTGGTTTCATTCTTACCTTCACGTCATCTCCACATTGTGGTGGATGCAGCGATGCAGATACTGAATCTCTTGCAGCGGCAGCGAGATAGTGATGCATCTATAGACTGTGACCGGCTGCAGTAAAGCAATAACGCAGTAAAGCTTTCAAGACCTTGGCCTGGATAAAGTAAACAAACAGTTTTGCAATAACAGCGCAATGCATGCTTTGCTGTGAGGTAAGGCTGCAGTTTGGAGTAAATGCAATATAATCTGCTGTAGGGATACATTAGTGCAATAAGCACAGCCTCGGGCTTGTGGTCTGACATTCATTCATTTACTGAGATTGTGTGTCTGTTGTCAGGTTACAAACCTGAAAGCTCGTGGCGTTGAGTTCCTGTCGACGCCCGAAACCTATTACCAGCAGCTGTTGGAGAAGCTAAAAACTGCCAAAATCAAAGTGAAGGAAGATCTCGCAAAGCTCCAGGTAAACACCTCCCTGAGCAACGCCAGGGTGTCCATAAAGTCCTGTTACACCCCCACACCACCACACACCTGAGCCACGCCATCCTTATTCCTAATCGCATGAAAATCCCCCCTCCCCTCCCCCCACGCTGTGTCCGGGTTCAAGACACTATCTGACACGACGTGGGCTACATGTAAGTGGTGGTAATAGCCTCACCTCTGGTTCCTGAGGGTATCAAGGATAGTGTCTGAAACTTCTCCCAGTTGTAAAGGGATTGAGCTCCTGCTGTGGGTGCCGACGGCTGACTCTCACCCCAAAGGCCTGGTGCAATGAGGGTGTTCACCTACAGAAACAGTCACTACACTTTGCAATATATTTTGTGAAGAGCGTTGAAACGTCCTCCCACTGAAAGGCGCTGTATCACATATAATGACTATTGTTATTGGCTGGGAGGGGCTTGCCTGTGTCAGGGATGCCTGGTGGACTATCACAGCTTCTCTCTCTCTCTCTCTATGTATGTAACAGGAACTCAAGATTCTGGTTGATTACGATGATAAAGGTTACCTGCTCCAGATCTTCACCAAACCTGTACAGGACAGACCCACCCTCTTCCTAGAAGTCATCCAGAGATATAACTTCAACGTGAGTTTACAGTTTCAGCTCTCTTTCCACACTCCCCTTTGTAACACAACAGTTTAGCTACTTACCCCAAACTGGGCAGATTCCTTACAGCTGAGGAGCGATGTAGAGTTCTGTAGCTCAGTGGTTAGAGCACTCGCCTCACAAGCGAGGGGTCCTGGGTTCGTCTCCCGGGCAGGGCGAAACCTTAGGTAAGTTTCCTTGCTCCACACATCTCTGTTTGCCGAGCAGTAAGTAGGAACCCAGTTGTTAGTTGATTGGCGGATCGCTATTCTGGGGTTAATAATCCCTTAAAAAAATCCACGACTGTTTGTGGGACACTGCTGTGCGCAATTGGTTGCTGCGTTTCACCCACAAAATACACAGTCAATTCACTTTACAGTATATTCTGTGAAGCACTTTGAGACGTCTCGAAGACGTGGTAAGGCGATGTCTCAAATGTAAGAATTATTCTTCTAAACTAGATAGTGGGGGGATGACTCTCACCTTTGGGAACGGAAGCCAAACCATGGGGATTTATTGTTAAAATTAAGAGGTAAAGAGGTTTTGAAGCGAGATCAGAAGATATTTCTTCATTCAAGAGTGTTGTCAGAGGGTGGAAGGCTGTATAGAGGCAGAATGAATTCCGTTGATTAAAATAAACACTTGGCAAGTAATGATATTAAACGGCATAGAAAAATAGCAGGAAAATGGGATTAAAAGATTTACAATGTACTAACAGCTGGAACAGACATGAGGGGCTGAATGGCCTCTTTCTGTTTAATATGATCAGTATCTCCCTGATCACAGTATCTCCTCTGCTTCACTGTAAAATTCCCTCTGTCACCTGCCAACCAACCCTGTACCACAGCCCCTCACCTCAGTGAACATGTTGCCACCTGGCTCCGCACCCCACCACTACACAACACCTCACTACACAGCAGCTCAATACACTGCACCTCAATACACTGCACGTCACTACACTGCACGTCACTACACAACAACAACAACAACAAGATTCCATTTATAAAGCGCCTTTCACGTCAGGAGGACGTCCCAAGGCGCTGCACAGTTGGGTCATGACCCGAGCATTGGGGGGAAATGGTCAGGGTGAGGGGAGGGAAGGGAGGGAGCGAGGAGGGGGAAAGAGAGTCGAGAGGGGAGCTGAAGGCACGGTCAAAGAGAAAGATTTCTCTGCACCTCACTGCACCTCACTACACCTCAATACACCCTGCAACACAGCCCACCTCCATCCACACCAGCCCTGCCCTGCTCCCTGTGCTCTAACCGGACGCTGGGTGCCATTTGTCTCCACAGGGCTTCGGGGCTGGAAACTTCTTGGCACTGTTTGAAGCTATTGAAACAGAGCAGAATTCCCGAGGGAACCTGATTCCTCACACAGATGATAAACCACCAAAGCCATTTTATTAGATCCTGAGCTAAAGGCTGGTCTGTGACATTCAGTTAGTAATATTAGTGTGTAGCCGAGGTCTCCCGACTGTTGCACTTACACGTAGCTGCACACTCGACTGGCTTCTGTTGTTATTATAACGTTCAATCCAGACAAGTCACTTCGGAGTCTGGGCTGCCATGCCGTCTCCTCTCCATGTGGCCGCTATAAACACCAGACATGTATGTAGCACTACCTGAGCACACGTACATGAAAGCTAAACATCACACATGAACACACTGCTTATAATCTGAATAAACACAACTATTACATAGCTCTCTAGTGCTCTGTATGTTTTCTTTTGCTCAGCTCGGTGTCTGACACACACAGAAAACCATCACCGTGATCAGCTGGGTGTCTGACACACACAGAAACCCGTCACCATGCTTAAGAGAATCCAATTCAGGCAGAGATCCATGTATCCCACCTACACATGGAATTCCCGGAAATGGAATGTGCACTCTCTCCTACAGGGACATCCATTACTTACCTAATTCCAGAGGGTAGGCACAGGTTGGCAGGAGCCAAGGATTGGGGATCCCAGAATGTGTGTCGGGATAACTGTTGGGAGTTTGTAACATTCACAGCACCACCTGGCAAGCTTCCCACGGCTTGTTCAGCGAAAGCCATTAGTGTTTGTAGGGTTAGAAGTGCTGAGTGCCCTCCAGACTGGCCTGTCCCTCCACATCCTGCCATCAGCCCGGCTGCCAGTCTGTCACCAGCAGAGCTTTGGAGACTGGATTGGCCTGGCTCAGGAGATACCAGAGAGAAAGAGAGATACCACCACAGAGGGAATTGACTGGATTCTGACATTCCATTGTCAAACATGCCAGGTCAGCTCCAAAGTACGATGGGGGGCTTGAACCCCCAACCTTCTGACTCAGAGAATGCTACTAACTGAGGCTGAACATCTAAAGATTAAACATCATCCAACTTATTGCAGAAATCTGCAGTTCAGGGTCACACGCCCACACCAGAGTAATTCAAAATAATTTATTTGAGCGTAATCTGGATAGACCTTGTCCATCAGGTCAGTGATGAGACTGGTCATGGATAAGGCACTTTACAGACCTGATACAGGATAAATATATTAGTAAATAAATATATTACGAACATATTACCATAATGAAATGTCTTTCTATACAAATATAATACACTTTTAAAAACTTTTTTTTAATACAAAGTACCCAAAATATAGTGATAGCCCTGGCAAACCCAAGGCCCCTTCTTAAGGCTATATTTTTCTTAAGTGCTTCAACTACCTGACAGTGAGAAGGGCCTAGGCGGGGGCTGAGCCCACAGTAGTACGAGCTGCTGTCAGGCAGTTTGGGATCAGGAACGATTGGACAAGAGTCTCCTCATGGGAGTTGCTGGACGGGCACCGCGGCTGTGGCAGTTTCCATCCCATAGACAGTCACCGACCAACCGACCCCAACGGATGCTTTCAAACTCCTTGTCACCGCATTGGTTCTCGTCCCTTTGGCTACACAGTGTGACCACACTCTGGGCCTTGCACCAGCCACCATGTATACACACTGTGTCTACAGGTGTCGCCAGTTAGGATTCTCCTCTAACTTGTGACGTAGGCTGCATGGTGTCTCCACACATTCCCACCAGGTCCATGGCTTCTCCTTCACGTGAGCTAGTTACACGGCGTCTCCACACCAGCCCCCGCTCCGCAGGTTAGTGTCTCCATGTGCCGCCCTTTACACAGTTCCTTCAGACCTGCTCCTCGTACCCTTTGCTTCCCGCTTCCTCGCGGAACTCTTCAATGTCCGATTCGTAACCTGTTCGAGGCCGAAACACTGCAGTAAGATTCATCAGCGGAAACATCGTTATACAAAGCAAATTGTCTGACACACGCGGAAATCATCTGCTCAAAAGTCTCCAGACAGGAGGGTTCCATGTCTGTCTGGCACCTAAAAATGGGACATTTCCCTGTGTCTGGGATGGAATGCGCTCTCTCCTATCTTGTAGCTGACCTGGGAGTGCTGGACGGATAGTGTAATTAATGGGAGTTTGACTTGATACCCAACTTGTACTGTAGCTTCTCTTACTGAAAACCTTCCTTTTGGACCATACCTACATCACCTCCACCCTCCCTCCGGCTCAGTGTCGTGCTCCGCCACTGTCAAGCGCTCTGGGATGCTACCCTGTGTGAGGGTCGCTGTGTAAATGCAAGTTGTTGTTCTAGCTAACGTAGGAAGCTGAGAAGTCTGGCTGTTTGAGCCACGCGTAAAGAAAAACCTTTGCCTTGTTGAATACGAAGTAATCATATAAACAGGCATAGTGAGAGAGAAGAGAGAGGAGAGAGAGAGAGGAGAGAGTGGGAGCGGGAGAGAGATAGGGAGAGGGAGAGGGAGAAGCATGTACCTGGGTATGTGGGCAGTGGTTGGCAACAGTAGTGGTGGGTGGGTGCTGGGTCCCTGTTACAGCAGCCGGTCCCACAGCAGGGGTCTGGGAGCTGGTGGCTGAGCTGCGGCTCAGAGCCCACACGGTACAGGTGCTGTTGGCAGAGCCGAGTCGGGCAGTCACAGAACGGGTACAGCCATTCTGTGGAACCCGCACTGCCCACCATCACAGGCTGGAGCTCGGGCCGGTGTGACTGTCCCCTGCTGGCCCTGTAGTGTATGTGTACGCGGCACTCCTCCAGGTTCTCGCAGGTCGATGGGAAATAAGTCACAGCGGCCTCGGGTGGAGAATTCTTCTTCTTTTTCCTGCGGGGGGCCTTCCTGTCAGGGGTGGGTTTAGTGCAAGCCCCGCCCCCAGCCCCACCTCCGGGGAGAGCAGCTGGGGTCCCTCGGGGTAGTGAGGCTGTGCGGGGGGAGTGGGTGGGGGGAGGTGGGCCAGGCAGCACTTGGTCCTCTCCTCCTGCTCCTCCCTCGTATCCTCTGGCCCTGTGCGGGGCTGTGTGAGGCTCCGCCCTGCACTGCCCCTGAGCTGCCCCTCCTCGTGGCGAGGCGGGGCTCGGTAGTGATGGTGCCGGTGATGATGGTAGTGAGTGTGACTGAGGACCTGGTCGTCCAGCGCTTCGGAAGCCGACTCCAGCGAGCGAGGTCTGTGCTCACCGAAGCCCAGACCGTCCCCACTCTGCGTGTCGGGGCCGCAGTACACCAGAGGGTCGTACTCGCTGCTCAGTGAGCTGCGGAAGGTGGAATGGCTGCCGTACACACACTGGTTGCTGATGTCGGTACAGTCTAGTGTGGAGTCGCTGGAGGAGCAGTGACAGGGGCCGGAGCTGGAGTCGCTGCCTGGGCTGTCAGCCATGTAGCCACTGCACACAGAGTGTGAACTGTAGTGTTCCCCAGTGCAGCTGCTGTGGCTGCTCAGGGGCTGGAGGTGCTGCGCGGAGGCTGTTCTCTGGCAGCTGTGGGGCTGGCGCTGTCGGTGTAAACACACTCGCTGGTCGGGTTGGTGGGGCCTGGGTCCTGAGGAGGAGCGATGATGCCGGTATGAAGGGCCCTGAGGTTCTGTGTGACGGTAGCTGCAACGATGCCCTCTGCCTGCCACGTAGCGCATGGTATTGAATCCGACTTGATAGACCTCGGGGGCAACAAAGTAGTACCCTGGGGGGGCAGCATGTGTGCCTGGGGGCCGGGCAGTGCTGGGGGGCACGGTGGGACCAGGCCGGTGGAGGTGAGCCAGGCCGGGGTAGCGTCGCAGTAAGTGTATCCGCTGGTTAAGCTGAGGCGGCTGAGAGGCCCGGCCTGACACATCCTGCTGAGAAACCACAGCACTTCCTTCTGTAAAGCAACAAAAACATATCTTTAGTGACTGTGTATGTGTGCGCGAGACTGGGTGTGTGTGCGTGCATGCGTGCGAAACTGGGTGCGTGCGCGTGCGAGACTGGGTGTGTGCGCGTGCGAGACTGGGTGTGTGTGACCTGGAAGGACAGACTGGAGGCAGGGAGTCATCCCACTCAGCTTCTGTTAACCCTGCAAGCCAAAGCCTTAACGGGTAGTGTGGTCCCAGCTGGATAAGCAGCGGGAAAGCTTGCCGGACAGTTAAATCTGAGTCTTATCGGCATCAACTACTGCTTCTGAATTCATCTCGTCTTCTCTCCTTTCCGCTCGCATTGCGTAGATGTGCTACTCTGGCCCTTTTGATTTAGGTTTATTAATTGCAAGGAATTATAAGCCAACTCTAATTACCCAACCACCCGCCCGCCTCCCTTCCTTCCCTCCCAGCCCTCCCTCCCAGCCCTCCCTCCCTGCCTGCTTTGTGATCTCTGTCCGTTGACCCACCTACCAATAATGTTGAACATGCAGAGAGGACAGGTGCGGTGCTGGTGGAGCCAGGGATCCACACATTCCTTGTGGAATTCATGGAAACAGGAAATTATTCGCAGGTCCTACAGGAAGTCAAAGTGGCAATGAGGATCAACTCACACTGACACAACACAGAACAACACAACTGTCATGATCAAACACACTGTAAAGCCAGTGAATGGGCAGCAGAACGCCCCACTTTGCTACGTTCAGTGAGAGCTTTTCTCTAAGGAGCCGCGTTAACAGGTCAACGGAGATGACGGTAGCCTCTAGGGAAAAGGATCCAAGGACTCTTTACCCAGAGCCCAGTGAACACGTGCAACACACAATCCAGAGATCCACTGACCCTCCCCAAATGGACAGTGGGTGAGGACAGCACCAGGGTCAGAGGTGCATGTGAGAGAGACTGACTGATGAACAGAACTTGTTATGGGGATTGACTGAGTGACACACAGAGCTGTGGAGGGGGGAGAATGAACTTTCAGACAGAAGCGTTTGAGTCTCACTTGTCCGTCCACAAACTCCTCCAGACAGATGGCACAGACGGGCTCCGAGGCGCTGCTGCTGCGCGAGTCTGTGCCCGGGCGCTCGAGACCCTGAGCCCGACAGCGAGACCGGTACGTGCGTGTGGCCAACCGGCTGATGGCTCGTAGTGTCTGCTGCTGTAGAGAGTCCTGTCAACACAAGAGAACAAGTTGAGGCCTGAACAGACCTGCCACCACCCTCAGCACAGAGTAAGACACCGCCCGCCCACAAAAACTCCAAACATGGGAGTGACTTTTAAAAACACCGATTATCTGTATAATTCAATATATAGTGGAAGTGAGAAGACCTGGGTTCAATTGCTGGGCGGGTCAGGGCGAAACCTTAGGCAAGTTTCCTCACTCCACACACACTCCTCTGTTTACCTAGCATAAGTAGGAACCCGGTTGACAGTCAATTGGGGAATCGCTTTTCCAGGGTAATAATCCCTTCAAATAAGTATATGAATAATAATGATAATAATTTGGTCACTCAATGCAGGACTGTTTATGGGACACCACTGTGTGCAATTGGCTGCTGCGTTTCACCCACAAAATATACAGTCAATTCTTCACAATATTCTGTGAAGCACTTTAAGGCAACTCAACAATATAAGGTGCTATATCAAATACAAGGGTTATTATGATTATTATTATTAATAAGCCGCTCGGAGTCCGCACTTGATGTAACCGTGAAGAGAGAGTGAGTAGACAGAGGGAGCTCTCACCCGTGTCCGTGTCTGTTTGCACTTGATGCGGACGGCCAGGATCATGACAACAACCGAGAAGGCAACGATGAGAGTCATCAGTATTCCAACATCGTAGGCTGGCTGGAGAGAGACCAGGACTGACATAAGGTATGCATTTCATACACACAAAATGTTTCACCTACAAATTAAACAGTCACTCCACTTTACAGTATATCCTGTGAAGCTCTTTGAGACATTTCAATATTGCGATAAGACTCTATGTCAAATGCAAAGATTATTATTATTATTTCCGTTGCAAGAGTATTACCAGGGTAAACGGGTTTCCATTGAGAGTTGGAGCTTTTTATTTCTACTGGAACTGAGAACGTCAGAGGATTATCAGATTATAAAGGGTGATGAGAAGATAAATAGTCATTGATTATTCTGACTGATCACCGAGTCAGCAACAAAAATACACACAATTGAGATAATCGCAAAACATGTTAAATAAAACTAGTATAAAGTGTGGCAAGAACGGGGAGCCCAGCAACAACAACTTGCAGGGTAGCGTCCCGGAGTTCAGCAATCTTTTTAAATAAAAGGGAATTAGTTAGTTGAAGGAGAGCAATAGTCTAAATAACCACTTTCTGTGCCAATCAGCTTCGCCTGAAGCAGTTTCTCTCCATCTCTTTTCCCACTGCTGTAATTATGGTTCCTGGTTACTAGGGGGCATTGTTGTGCTGCATGTTCCCATGAATTGAGCATGAGTGCTGCCGTCAGTGCCTCACACAGTGAGTGTCCTGTCTCTTAAACTGGGTCAAAATAGCTCAACTCTCCAAACCGCGCTGTGAAAGGCGCTCGCTCTACACCTGTAACTTGTTATTGTGGCTCCCCGGCTGGCCTCAGTCAGTGCTCCCGCCAGGTTACGCACTACACCCCAGGAAACCTGGGTGTTTAAGGCCAGGACTTGGTGAATGAGAACTTACTCTCCCCAACGTGCTGCCCTTGACATGAATGCGAACCACAGCCTCTCCATTAGTGTTGATAACCCTCATGAGCTGGGCAGCGTCATTGCCTCGGACCAGAATCACCGGCCGGGACAGCAGCTCCTCCTCGTTCTCCTTCAGCTGTGGGCACAGAGTCGCGTGAGGGTCAGGTCAGGACACCACAGGCACTGAACTATCTTTGTGTCTTAATTATTTCATCCGGCCTGGATTAACCCTCCTCCAAGCCTCACCTCACACACCAAGTATTGCATTAAAAATACCCGCTTCCATCGTGCTCTTATCTTGCACTAATCTACACCAGCAGCTTGTGTTCATAGAATAGCTTTCATGTGAAACAACGTCTCAAAGCGCTTGACAAATTTTCGCTTGCAAACACAGGCACTTAAGCGCCTTGGGATGTCCCGCTGATGTGAGAGGCGCTATATATCAATGTATGTTTGTATTGCACTATACGATAAATTCTGTGAAGCACTTTGAGGTGTTTCGATGACACGATAAGCTGCTATATCAAACACAAGGATTTTATTACTATTATAAACAGACACCGCCAGGGAAACGGGAAGTTTAGACATCACCAAAGGCACAATTGAAGAAGTACATTTTCAGGATTGTGAAGACCGCCAAGTATTTTTTTGGAAGAGATTTCCAGAGGCCAGGTGTAGTGGCTTAAGGTTGGACATAATAATGAAATGGGAGGCAAATAAGATTGAAAGCCACGAGTATAGGCTGGAGAGGATTGGGGAGGGCGATGCAGGAAATTAACGAGGATCTTAAATGAGTCAATGCTCAGGTAGCCAGTTGAACCTGGTGAGGAGGGGGGCAATGGCTGTGGAGAGTCTTGTTGAGGAGAGGCTGAGGATCAGAGTGGAGCTGGGGAGGCTAGATGTGCTTGTCCTCGTGCACAGATCTCAGTGGGTCCCATCTGCAGGAGGTGAATGAATTGCCTTTGATGCTGGTCTGGGAACATCCCACAGAGGAGAGAGTGAAGCTGACCCTAATGGTGCTGAGATCACTAAGCAGGACAGTGAGGTTGGTTTCGGAGCCAACGTTACCTGATCAGCCGCAGTCTGGTCATCGGTCACGTCAAAGATAACGGCTGTCGCTCCCCTCTGGATGGCAAACTTAGCCTGGAACACAGAGAGCAAAGATCAGGCATTAGCACCCAGTGCTATCTACAGTACATACCTGGATTCCCTGCAGTGAATGTTTCCAGTCATTTACACCATCCAGTTACTGCACTTGCACAGTGACTTACATATCCAAACAGACCTAACCACCAGGTTATCTGTAAGTACGTGTGAATTACAAGTGACTGAGGCAACAACCAGTTCAGTTTTTTGCAAGGAAGAGAAACAAAGTTCACAAGAAACAACTTTACATATCCCTCTATGTTAAAGTGATTCTCCCACAAATTACACAATATACTGTAAAGTGAATTGACTGCATTCTGTGGACGAAATGTGGCAGCCAATTGCGTACAGCAGCGTCCCACAAATAGTCATGGATTGAAGTGACCAAATTATTTTTCAATCCGCCAATCAACTGACAACCGGGTTCCTACTCACTGCTGGGTAAACAGAGATGTGTGGGGTAAGAAAACTTGACTAAGGTTTCGCCCTGACCCGCCCGGGAATCGAACCCAGGTCCTGTGGGCCGTGACTCCCGCTCTCATATCTGTGACACTGCCAGACCCACAACGAACAACCTGTCTGCTGCGGCCTTTCATTCCTGGCTTTCAAGGTGGAGAGCAGTTATTTACGTTGAACACCTGACCCTTGGGCCCTTTCTCCTATTGTTCTCCTGTTTGCTCTCTCCCGACTAAAAAGTCTTCCCAGAAATTAATTTACTGAGAGCAAGCGCATCTCACTGCACTACACAATCACCCCACTGGTCAGAGACATGTGAGGTCAAGAAAGTAAGATGAGCTTGAGGTGGGTGGGGTGGGGGGGGGGGGGGGTAAAGAAAGAGTGCAGGTCGGGGGTAGCTGAGCTGTAACATTCCTAAACTCAGGTTCCAATCCATTGAAGAAGTTAGAGATCAGGACGAACATTGCATCCAACAGTCTCCGCTCGTCCATACCAAGGTCTGGGGGTTACATTGCCAACAGTCACACATAAGGAAGCAGCCAGCACTGGGAATGCAACCCACAGAGCCAGCCTGTGTATGGAATACAGCAATCATGTGTGTGTGTGTGTGTGTGCAGCTGAGTGTGTGTGACGCACATGCACTCCAGTTTGAGGTGGAGAAGCTGAAGATATTAACCCAGCGTTCAGCCCCAGTTACTTGATCTCAGCCCCTCCGGCTTTCGCTCAGTGCTGCTGCAGCTCCACATTCATCAGCAGCACAGGTCAGTCTCCCGTCTGTAACCAGCCTGAGCTCAGTCAGAGCCTCTGCTGTCAGACCAGACCAGCAGCAAGCAACAACTTGTATTGTACAGCATCTCACCATATCAAAATGTCTCACAGCACTTCCAAGTCATTGCTGTTAACTTTTCATGTTGGCAAACTGTACCAGGAAGGAACCGCAGACAGCAATGAGGTGCACTGAGACCCCACCCTGCATGAGGGGGCGCTATGTAAATGCAAGTTGTTGTTGCTGGTCCAACTTACCTGGAAGATGTTGAACAGGACACAAAGAGAATCAGTGTTTAACATCTCTCTGAAATTCGGCAATGCAGTCCTATACTGGAGCCTCAGCCTAAACTGTGCTCAAATCCAGAGGTGGAGCTTGAACCCACAACCTCCTGACCAAGAATGTGTTGCTAACGGAGCTAAAGCTAAACTCCAAGGCAGTCAGTTCTCAGCTGCTAGTGTTCTGGCTTTTGGTTTAGACAGTTGTAGGTTCGAACACCATGTCAGGTCTTTGAGCTCATAAAAGTGTGGGCTTACGTTCCCTTGCAGTTCTGGGGGAATGTTAAACACAGGTATTATCTGCCTATTCAAGTGGACATTAAAGATCTCATGGCACTACTTGAAAGAGGACTGAGTTTGGAGGAGTGTTGAGGAGTTGATTTGGCGTGGGAAAGGGGTGGGAGAGAGGGCTTAAACTAATGTTTGGGGCTGGGGGTAGGTGGGGAGGGGAGAGGTGGAGAGAGGTTGATGATGGGAGATGCACCAGGAATATAAGAGCAGGCAGTGACCAGTCGATAGACACGTCACTAAAAATCTTCCCAAAGCAGAGATACTGACATTTAAGAGTTTTAGAAGAAATTCCTGAAACTAAGGTATAAAGTCCAGGACACGATCAGACAGGCCATAGAGTAAAAAAAACCCACAAAAGAATTCTTTGTAAAGACTTCAAGCTGACACTATTTCACAGCAGTGATTGAAGTTGAATAAAAGGAAGTACAGTCGAAAAAAACCTTAAAAAAAGGCATTCACAGCAGATGAGAGAGGAGCCAGGGAAAGAATGTGCTTTTAATACCACTACACTTTGTTGTGATAATAAAAAGATATTTTAAAACGAGAGGAACTAATGAGCGTAAAATCCTAATTTTCCATTTTCTCTCTCGATTTCTCCTCGTCTTTACATTGACTCTTTGAAAAGGAAGATGAGAGAAAATCACAGCCCTGTGCCAGACACATGACCCGGTTTCTAAATGTGGCATAAAGGGAGGCAAGGGGCAGATGGGGATTAGCTCTCAGTGTGCGGGGGCCGGGCGGGGGGAAGAGATGGGGGGCACAGCCAGCACATGGCATTGCTGAGCAGATTCAGGGCTGCACAGGAGGAGCCACATGCATTGCTCTTCACAGTGAGCGAGTGTGTTAGGAGCCATTGGGAAATCAGGATCCATTGCACACTGGGGACATGCGCAGCACACACACATGCACACACGTGTATGTGTGTACATATACACAGGCAGAGGTACAGATAAGCAGGCATGTATCCACAGTGTGTGTATATGACAAACATAAGCACCCAAACTTATTGCTCAAAGGTTTGAACATAACCAATAATCTTCCAGTTTGGGAGAAGGTCATAAGAACATAAGAATTAGGAGCAGGAGTAGGCCATTCGATAAGATCTTCTGACCTAACTCTAATTACCTGCCCTATCCCCGTGTCCCCTAATCCCTCTATTTTTTAAAAAATCAATCAGGAAGGGAGGAGAGCAAACCGTAACATGTACAAACAGTCAGAGTGAGCAAAACAGCTCCAGACCCACAGAGAGAGATAGAGGAGAGAGAGAGAAAAGGAGAAGAGAAACAATGTGACAGTGAGGGAGATGGAGACACAGACAGACAGAATGTGTGATAGCGAGAGAGAGGAATGTACTATATTAAATGCTGATATCCTCTCCCCACTCGGTGTCTGTCTGACTGAACGATGTTAGTAATGTACTGAGGTGAATGTGCTGAGATTACTGGCTGCCCGAGGTACAGGTGGGGCTGAGCTGGGAACACTTTGATGTAAGCAGTGAGTGTGACACAGCGACCAGCAGTGCGGTTGCGGTTTGAGCTGCAGTTTGCTAATTGCAGACCTACGACCTTGCTGCACCCCTTCCTGACCTGCCTAGTAAACACTGGGCCTTCCTCTGCCTCTGCACACTCTCCGCCCCTCCCTCCCCCCGTCCCTCCCCCAGCAGTCAGAGACATGGCCGTAGCCCCAGGCTGCTCTAATGGCCCATGAAGACTTCTAAAGGAGGAAAGATGTTCTGCTGTAAACACTGGAATTCTCTGTGCAGTGAGGAATCTTCCCCCAAGGCATCTGGTGCAGGAGACGGGATTTCAATGTAAATGATCCAAAATTCCTGAGGAAATTCTAGAGAATGGAGCTGGGGGTGGGGCTGGAGCTGGGATGGCAGTGCCAGGAGATGCTGCATCCCAGGCTGGTTTTCAACAGATATTGAACAGATACGTTATCCCCCCCACCCCCACCCCAGACACGGGCTCGAGCCAGCCCACAGGTGCTCTCTTGTACCTGATACCCAACTGTAAATGGCCATGATTCACATATGAGCTTCACTCATGTTCTCACACACTGCACTGGAACTCCTGAGGGCCATACAAAACCATGTAACTCTACAACACTAAGAGACCATTTGACCCAGTGAACCACTGTTGCTGTTTGTTCTTCCAATGAAGGCAACCAGCCTAATCCTGATTCTCTGCTCTTTAATCCATTCCCTCTCATGGACTGTCTCTGTAGATGGTTATGCAATTCCCCTTTAAATGCCTTAATTGACTCTGCTTCCACTTTGACAGTCACCCCCAACAATCCATTCCATAGCCTTAACCCTCTGGGAGAACACATTCTTCCTAACCTCCCTTTCATGTTCCCGTCTCATCTTATAATCTTAAGACTGATGATCACTTGTCCTCGAATCACCTACAACAGGAAAGTGCCCCACTATTTACCCTTTCATTATCTTAACTAGCAATATATCACCACTCAAGCTTCTCTGGTCCATTGCTAAACGCAGTGACTAGAGTTTGTCAGAGCAAACTCCCCACAGATCTGGCTCCAAGTTCCAAATCCTAGAATCTGAGGAGGATGCTGTGGGAAGCTTTCCGCCATGTTTTTCATTAGTTAGACAGAGTTAAACTGCTCACAATGCAGTCAAGGTGGAAACAGAACGAGTTAGAGCAGTGAGAGCCAATGCTCTAGTGTTTATTAGTTTCCTTACTCCACACGCCTAATAATAATCCTTCCAAAAAAACAAAACAAAACAAAAAATTGGTCATTTTCAATCCACGACTGTTTGCGGGACGCTGCTGTGCGCAATTGGCTTCCGCTTTTCGCCCACAAATATGCGGTCAATTCACTTTACAGTCTATTCTGTGAAGCGCTTTGAGACGTCGAGAAGACATGAAAAGCGCTATATCAAACGCGAGCGAGATCTACTGCATCAATGCAATGAGGATCAATCCAGGATTTACTGCACAACCACCTGCATGGAGACCTCATACCAATACTGTCTTATATACATTATACATGAGCAGCAAACCAGGCAGAGCCCCACCGCCGCTGCACATGGCCACACAATGACCTACCTTGTTGAACAGAGACAGACAGGGATGCGGATCTCGATCGGGACTCTCCAGCTTCACCATACTGACAAAGATGTAGTCCTGCTGTTCATCTTCACTGGTGTTACACAGCCACAGAGGGTGGAACTGCCAAACAGAGGAGAAACACTCTCATTAGCGACCACCATCAAAGCCCTCAGCTCTGGGATAGACTGAAACCCTCAACTCCCCTCCACACACCCACACCTTAACCCATCCCCACCCTCCTCCATTAACCCACACCTTAACCATTCCCTGCACACACACACACACACACACACATGCATACGCTGCAGATCACGTGCCTGCTCTGACAGAATAGCGGGAGGAAGAAATTATTAGTCTGGCCCCACAGCCCTATCCTGGACACATTGGACAGTTACCAGCAACACAACACTGTACCAATGGAGACAATGCTATCTTTACTACAACCATGACCTCAACCTCCAGCACCTACTGCTGCTGTTCTTCCAGTTCAACTCAGTGCAGGTAATAATAATCCTTGCATTTGCTATAGCACCTTATCACATCTTCGAGACGTCTCAAAGCTCTTCACAGAATATACCGCAAAGTGAATTGACTGTATAATCTGTGGCTGATGTACTGACACCCAGAGAGTCAACAGTTTGTGATTATTACCATGACCCATCCACACCACATTGTACAGTCCAAATGGTACAACAACAACTTGCAATTATAGCGCCCTCCACGCAGGGTAGTGTCTCAGAACGCTTAACAGTGGCGGAGCCTGACTCCGAGCCATGGGGAGGGGGAGAAGGTGGCCATAAGCACGGTCGAAGAGGAAGGTTTTCAGGTGGGACTTGAAAAAGAAGAGGTGGAGGAATTGAGGGAGAGTGTTCCAGAGTTTCGGGCTACAGTGGCTGAAAGCGCGACCACTGTTGGTGGGGCGGAGGATAAATGATGCATCATGTACAAAAGGAACAACACCTGGTTTGTGACCCAGTGAAAGGTATGGGAGCTGATGATGTCAGGGTACAGTATCACAGCATCTCTAATTTATCAACATCTGCCCACTGCATATTGTCCAGATCCCGGCACCCACCCAAGTGGAGTTATTCTATAGGTAAACAGACCTTAATGATCTGATCTGCTTCTGTATATTCCTACATTCTACAACTCAATCTATTTCCCAGGGCAGCTGGGGCCTGGTGTTGGTTGCACTGGGGGCTTGAGAGGGGGTATTGAGGGGGGTTGAAAGAAGGGTGGGGGGGGGGGTTAAGAGCGGAAGTTTGAGGGGGGTTTGAGGAGAGGAAGTTGAAAGGAAGTTTTGAGGGGGAAGGGTTGGGCAAGCTAAAGACAGCTACAATCTCTTCTTCCTGTAAACTATCTCACTCAACATCTTCTAACTCACCGATGGGGCCTTGGTGATGGAATGCGGGGGGGTATCCTTGGGAGGATGTGGGTGGGCAGGGGGAGGGGGGGGTTGCCTATGTGGGACCAGCGCCCGCTGGTGTCCTCAGTGGCACAAGTTTGTTTGCTTTGTTTCTGTGTGAACAAAACAGTGAAAAAAAACAAGGGGAAAGGTAGATGTGAACAAGATTGACGAATGCACAAGATTGCAATAATTGCAATTTGAGTTCATTCCAAAAACAAAACTAATGTAGGGAATTGAATCCTAGAAAGAAAAATACTTTTCTGATTTAGGTTTTTTTCACCAGGCTCAGCAGGTCTCCACTCCCATAACTGCCCCATTTCCTAGAGCACCTTCCCTTATGGAGTGCTTTATACAGACCGCACTCCTCCAGTCCTGCACCTGCTGCCAGCTGACATCTCGAGCTAATGGAATAGAAGCATCAGCTTGAATGCTTGAAATCTAACTTTCCTTCTCCATACTGTGGAGGAAAATTAGCTACCATTGGGGCTGCTTCATTCTTCTCCTGTGATAAAAGCTCCCCTCTATATTGTGTACACAAGGTGCAGTCCTGCTATACTGAGTACATAATGTGCAGCTGGTGCTGTAGTGTGTAAATAAGGTGCAGTCCTGCTTTACTATATACATACGGTGCTGCCACTGCTAATGCAATGTTGGGGTGGGGGGTGTGGTGGCATTGCCTGAGGCGCCGTCCTTCAGATGAGACGTTAAAACAAGGTCTGTTCTGGTGGACGTTAAAGATCTCATTGCACTAATTGAAAAGAGAGGGGAGTCTTTCTCTCCCGGTGTCCTGGCCAACAATCAACTCCCTCAAATAAAATTGGTCACTCACTCCATGGCTGTTTATGGAACATTGCTGTGCCCAACTGTGCTTCTCCTTATTGTGTTTCACAGTAATTCTTATGAAGCACTTCGAGATGTCCTTCCAATGAGACAAAGCACATACCAAATGTAAGGTTTATTTACGATATTGTGTAAGGTTTCGCTCAGTACATTTGAACCAATGAGGTATTTTACTTTGTATAATCATGTCCGTATGGCCTGAGGAGGGAGGGATATCTGGGAGATATTCTGTATGTTCTTCACATTCTGCAGAGCAACAATTTATTACCTGCAGATGGAGGAGCCGAAATTCCAACATCACCACTGAGCTACCACAGTCAGCAGCACAGACACAAAGAGGAGCAGCTATAACACTGAATCTGGAAATATCTCAACGCCGCAGAACAGACAGAAAAATCCCTGTCTGGTTCAGAAGGGGTTTGAACTGAAAAGTAACCGCATAAAAGATATCTACACCTATTCTGAGGCCAATTTGATGTAAAATGCACTATATCAAATGCAAGGAATAGGTTATATGTAGCACAAGTCTCTGTTTACAACATGACCTGGAGCCGTGTGAAACAGACAAGCTCAGTGACATTGTCTAATCCTGCTACCTTACATTGCTGAGGATTTCAATAGTGATCTCTCCAACTCAGACCCTGAGAGCAAAAATAAAGCAAGGTGACATCCAAAAATACCAGAGCCTTGGCACTAAGGCAGATACGTGGAGTGCACACACGCTACGCAGGGCTGTCCTCAACATATACAGCATTTAGTTGGCACTTATACCCCCATTGTACACTATTGAATAATGCAGTTCAATCTCTACAAATGGGAGCCAACGATAAAAAAACCTCTGAGCAGCCAAACAGACACTGTGGCCGGGAGCCGCTGGTGTCAATATTCCGGAGGGAAGCACCAGTCTGGAATCTCGGCTGATCACTGATGGCTTCACCTTTAACACCTTAGCCAGTTTGATAACATCATCCAAACTGTGATGATAATAATAATCCTTGCATTTGATATAGAGACTTATGTCATCCAAACGTTTCATATACTGTACAGTGCATTGACTGTGTATTTTGTGGACAAAATGGGTAGCACAAAACCTGATACATCAACTTCTGGCTCCAGGTTCCTAGACTGAAATCAAATCATACGTGAGCTGAGAGAGCAAGATGAGACTTGTGCTTGGAGGAAGCAATAAACAAGATTGTGTTCCTCACTCACATAATCCTCAATGCATCAGCTGCTCTTCAATACTTATTCACCTCTCATTGTGAGGTTCTAACCCTTTCCCTGTCTATTCTTTCTCCTTTAATCAAGGACAATAATAGTGATACAAGCATTTGATATAGAGCCTTATCATGCCGTTGAGATGTTTCAAAGGACTGTAAAGTGGATTGATTCTATATTTTGTGGGTATGAAACGCAGCAGCCAATTGCACACAGCAGTTTCCGACAAACAATCGTGGATTGAGTTACCCAATACTTTTTAGAGGGAATATTACCCGCAGAAAGCAATCCACCAATCAACTAACAACTGGGTTCCTTACTGCTAGGTAAACAGAGTCCTGTGGAGTAAGAAAACTTGCTGAGATATTTCATACTATCAGTGAGAGGTGCTTCTTCACTGATAGACTTGTAGAGTCCTGTAGCTCAGTGGTTAGAGCACTCGCCTCACAAGCGAGAGACCTGGGTTTGATTCCCACTTGGGGGCGAAAGCTTGAGCAAGTAGCCTTACTCCACATGCCTGATAATAATCCCTCAAGAAAAAAACAATAATAATTTGGTCACTCAATCCACGACTGTTTGTGGTGTGTGCAATTGGCTGCCGCATTTCACCCACAAACATACGGTCAATTCACTTTACAGTATATGCTGTGAAGCACTTTGAGAAGTCTCGAAGACGTGAAAAGCGCTGTATCAAATGCAAGGATTATTATTACTCACAACCATTCAGCAGTGCGGTTCAGTGGCTGCCTCTAGAACTGCCAACGGGACCTACGCTAGAGTCTCTCTCTCTCCAGCAATGAATACCTGCCACTGGGAATTGATGCTTTCAAATACCAGACAAGGTTGGGACTGGAAATAAACTGAACTGAACGGGAGCCAACTGCTATCGGCACTAACCTCCGAATGGGAATCTAACACTCCCACTGGAGCTATGGTCCTTATCATGGCTCCTCTCAATAGTGCTGACAGACGATTCCAGTGATCATGATGTAGGGTCGTTGCTCCATGCTAAATGTTCGGCATGTTATTGAGCGTTACCAGTTACAGATTTGGGAAATGTAACCTTCTTGTTTGCAGCACTTCAGTGTAGATCCCCCAGGGGGCGCAGTGTAACAACGTGTCCCCAGTGGGAAAGCCACACAGATGGGGCTTTGTAACAAGTCTGATCTGGCCTCACAACAGAGCACCACAATGCACGGCTGTAACTCGAGCTTTTCAGTAAACACAATGAATTGGAGGAGGTGATAAGCAGGTCATACTCAAGGCAATATGGTAACCTGATTAAAAATTAAGCTAAACTTGGAAGCAAATCAAAGGGAAAGTGCACTTGAAATCTAACTCGTGTCTTCCTGTTTGTTTGTGGGTATCATTATTGCTGCACTGTGCAAGGCTTCCCGCTTTCATCTCAGCTCCTCGGATGCCAGCTGTGTGTAGCTCTCGGCTCATTCTAGCTTATCATCTGAATGGCCCAGCCTTCCCTCCGCAGGCCCTCACAGGGGTTCAGCCCTCACCAGAAATGTTCTGGAGTTGAAGCTTCTCGGGGCCGAGGTCCGTGCTCAACACCCTGCTCCGACCTGGGATTCCGTTGCCCTAGTTAGAGCAGAACAGCCAAGGCCATGTCACAGTGCCCAACTCTCGGACCAAGTTCTAAAAG